TGCACCGTGTGATAACAGTGTAGTTACAATGCAGTGCAGGAAGAGGCACCCAGAGAGTCCTTCGTGATTCTCTGCATTTTGTGGTGAGATGCGACGGACGGTGGCCCTGTGACGCTTCACCACAGCTGTGATGCGTGCGTCATCACCTACTGTCGCGGGTGTCCGTCCACCTGTACTGTACCGCCTCAGTCACCCTCACACACGCGACACGACTCGCCCGCGGCACACCGCGAGCGTACACGTCGGAGACACCTGAGCGGAGCGGCGGAACGCGCTCGCCAAGGACACGGGTCGCGGCTAGGAGCAGGGAGCCGACTTGTGGAGCCTGCGAGAGGAGACGGCAGAGCACAAGGCATCCAGCGGCTCACACGGCAGCCGACAGCCCACCCACCGACAAACCTGACGTCAGCGAGAGAGAAAATGATAAACAAATAACGACACGTCAAACAATATGCTGACTTGTATCGGACGTCTGTCACCGCCAAATGCACATGGTGGAATAATGTTGATAAAAATGGACAGCCAAACAAGCCCGGCACCCGTTGCTGGTGAGGATAAGCCAGCTAAACCCGAGCTCGGGCGCTCACCGTGCAGCCGATATCATGCGATGTGCAGTGAGCACATGCCACGTCATAACAGCGAACATCCGTCGCGGCATACCTCAGCCCAGCTTCATAAAAACACGGCGACTGGTGCCGTGCTGGCGGCAACACCGGCAGGCGGCAGCGAACGATCAGACATGTAATGTCAAACATTGGCGACATCTACGGCGCAGCGGAGTGCCGATAACTGAGGCACCAAACGAAATGGACATGCACGAAACATCGAGTGGAAAAGAAACTCAACCAAAACCGAATAAGATGCAAATGGAGCCAAAGAAGTGGAGCATAGCTCCTACAACTCAAGAAAATTTGATGCATCGAATCTACACACCGACACTTCTAGAAAACTGCGAACATCGAGCATCCAGAAAATAAAAATGAATCTATATACAACGACCATCCAACAGAAAGCTGACATCAATCACCGATCAGACTCGAAGCGTCCGGTCGGCGGCCTGAGCCCGCATGCTCCGCGGCCTGTCCCGGCACCGGGCGTTACCTGGAGCTGCGAGAGGCCGATTGGGAGGACGGAGCGGAGGGACGCTCGCCTCCTCCGGCGCTGCACGGCGTCCCGCTGCCCTGCCGTGTCGCCGTCCGGCCGGCCGGCTGCTCGGTCCGGCTGGCCGCGCCGGCAGGGGAGGTGCTCGTGTGCCGCATGGTCAGCTCGGTGGTCATCCGGCTGCCGCCGGCGGACGGCGGAGGACGGCGCGTCGCCTCGCCCGCCGACGCCGGGTCCCGCCGCTGCCGGCTGAAGGTCTCCGAGGTCTCCCGCTGGTGTTCCTCCTCCTTACCGTCAACCATCCGGTGGTACTCGGAGGTGCGACTCCTGAGAGCGCGCAGCGGCGTCCGGCAGCGTGCGAGAGACAGACGGGATCAGGCGGCTGATTGGGCACTGCGCGACCGGTTAGTCTAGGTTCAGGCAGTGGGGCGCACCTCAGGGCATGGAATAGATCTGAGACACGCAGACATCGGACAGGCTGGATGGTGGAGCAGGCTCACTTACAAGCATAATCACTTCGGCATGGCGTTGTTTAGGAACCCTAATGAAATCAACCAAAGAAATCACTCGACGTTAAAGGGACCCTCCCACCTTAACATTAGTTTTGAGTTGAGATAGCCAAGTTTGCGGCCAGGCTCAGAAACCACCATATATCCTGGTCGCAACCCCCGCAGCTTTATGGTGTTCAAGAAATTTCTTCCCTTTACTTGCAGGGTGGGACCAGCGTGGTCCCTATCTCTTAACCATTACGGGAATCTGATGACGTCATCAGGCTTTCGAACGTCCGTTAAATGTTTGACTAAAACGTTTTGTAGCACGCGGTGGTATATGCTGCTTTGCGCGCAACAAATGCCGCACTTTCAAATAAAGTCGCTAGGAACAGCGGAGATCGCAAAAAGTAAACAAAAGTAAAAGTCTAATATCTTGAAAACCGGCGAATATTTTTCGATGAAATTTTGTAGATATTCGTTTTTGCTCTTTCTGAACCGAGCGACATCACTTTCATGCCAATTCATTAACTTTTTTGAAGGTGGGAGGGTCCCTTTAACGACTGCGGCGAAAAACAGTGCAGACTGCAGCGAAAAAGACTACAGACTGCAGCACACAGTAGTCACCGTGATTGACCGTCACGCCGGGCAGTCACGGTGAACCGTCACATCACGACACGCCGCGCCGTGCGGGGAGCGTCACGGACGGCGAGCAGACGGACAGACAGGCAGACGGACTGACGGACAGACGGGCGGACGGACGGACGGACAGGCGGAGAGCGCGTGAGAGAAAGGTCTGGAAACGCCCGGCCGGTCGGCGGAGCGAGTGCCACCGCCGACACGACACGACTCCGTGACGTCATAGCCACAGGGTGGGGCGCGGCAGAGGATGAACAGGTATGCGCGCAGCATGACAAGGGCGGGTAGAGGAACGGGGGAGAGCAGAGGGTCAGTGACTTCCTATCGGGGTTTAGTTAAAAGGAACTCACTATTCTAACTTATTGAAGCCATGTATGAACTGCTTATGAAGAACAAGCTAAAAAGACAAAAAGGAACACAATGGCACATTTTCATGGGCTAAGTAATTGTGATTTAATCAACCCAGCTCACTGCGTGATGTTCCTACAGTGATGCGATGCTGCGCCTACGGCATCCCCCTATATCATGGGCCATGCCGAACATTCACGAGATGATGTCCCAATCATTGAATGAAGCCAGTTTGAGGCCCCAGTGCAGAGTCACGGCCTCAGTCCAGGCCGGTGCAGCAATTCGCTGCCGTTCCGTGACTCATTTGATTACATACCCGTCGAACAAGTATCATCTAGGGTCATTCTGGATCGCAAACTGCCTATTAGGCTGTGTGAGGCGGCCTCCGCTAACACAGTCGTGACATCATGGAAGGTCGTGGGCCGGGGCGGCTTCTCGAGAGGTCTCTCCATGCTCTCCTGCATATCCCAACGTCACTCGCCCGCGCGCCTAGCAGGGGAAAGGGGCACTGGGTGCGCCAAGGCTCCGCGCCATGCCGTCCAAGGAGTTACTTATGTAAGTCACCGTGTTCGGTCGCGTTTCGTACACTGCCATGTCTCATAACAATGTAGGGAGACCAAGAAGCGGCCCATCGTTCCAGACATACCCTTTGATGGAGTGACTGACAGCAGTGAGCAGAACTTGGTCAGACAGGGTGCGCTTAAACTTCGTCTCGACACATGGACCACTTATTTATCTCTGATGCACCGGTGGCATGACCTGTTCACCTCGTCAGAGACAGTTTGACCTCCCCTCTGACCGGTCGACCTATCGGTCGGTAGGAAGGCAGCACGCCTCATCCGTACATACAATGGACCACTAATGAACCGGCTGTCCTCTCGCTCGGCGGGGCGGCAGCGTTTAGCGGCGCTCGGCTCAGCTGCTTGTCGAGCTACTCTTGTCCGATCGGCACACGACCTGAGTGTCTCCAGGGAAGTGGAGGGGCTTCACCTGTCGGATGTTAGAGGACTTCACCCACGACGTTCGTAAAGTCAGACGAACGTCAAAGACGCATGTTGGTGGCCGGGCGCTGACGTGAGTTATTGATTAAGCAACTAGACGAGAAAATTAAATTTCATGTCTTATTGTAAAGGTAAGTGACGCACAAATATTCATCGGACGGCACCAACAGTCATTAGGTTAAAACCAAACTACACGTTTCGCTGAGGAAAACCCTAAGAATCGTGTCGTCTATCATGCGGTCAACACTCAACAAGATTGGATTGTGCCTGGTGCGAATACCGGCAGGAAATAAACATGTCTGCTCATTCAAACTGCAGGTGAGAACTTCCTCTCTTTTACAATCGTGTATAATACCCACTTGAGCCTACTACAATGGAATAAAATAACGGTCAGTAGTATGCAATCCAATTCAGACACGGCGGTACCAAAGGAAAACAAACGCGTAATCCTCTGTAATGCAAATCGCGAGCCACGCGAGGGTCCGACACGCCACATAGCCAGCCGCTGGCACTGAGCGAGGCGTTTTCACACCACTGAGCGGCTCAGCGAGACGTTTCTCCTTATTAGTGAAGCCCGTTCTGTATATGTTACAAACTGGCAACTGGCACGGGTCCGGTCGCGGGGACCAAGTAGAGCGAGAGCACGTAAACACGCGTGTTTTTGCCGCCGGAACACGAGCAGACGACGTTATGAAAGATTTACGGCTAGAGAAACACATCAACCGAATGTGGGTTCGGACAAAGGGGTGTTTCGAGCGGTGCTCTGACCATAACGGTCTGCAGGCCACCGAATAGAACGGAGCAGATAGCCAGTATCTCGTCGCCCGTGTCTGCAGGATGGAGAGGAGAAACGGCGGCGCCGTATCTAGCTGCCCATCCCCTGCCGGGGTCGGCGCAGCGGGACGGTCGAACAAAGACGGTCTACCCCTTCGGTGCCCGTACCGCCCCTGCCGACGGAGGGGAAGCCCGGCAGGGGGCCGTTACGACCGGCACCGGCCGAGGGGGGCGGGGCGCGCCACTACCAGAATCGATCTCCGACGACCTCGACATCGGCCGACGGCGGCGGCGGCCGTCGGCAGAGGCCATGGGCGGGGGCGGCGCGGTCGGGCAGTGGCCGCCGCACCGAGCCGAGCAGACGCGCCTGCCGCCCGCCGGCTCCTGGCAGGGGTGTTGGCAGCCGTGCCGGCCGCCGCCGCCTGGCCGCGTGCCACCCACCGGCGGCCGGCCGGGCACCGACCAACCGACCGGCCGACCGGGCCGGGCGGGACCGCGGCACGACCGGGGTCACAGCCACATTCCGCCAGCCGCCGCCGGCCTCCACACAGCCACCGTCCAACGACAAAACACAGCACAGCACGGCAAGGGAGTGAGGGCAAGGCGATAGCGTCAAAAGGCACCGGATCAGTGCCGGTCCGTCCCTTACCTGGAGGTGATTGAGCTCTGTCCCATCGACGGCATCTCGCGGCTGATGAGCTCCGAGCGGAACTTGTTCATCTCATCCTCCATCTTGCGCATCTCGGCGTCGAACCGCTCGCGGATGCTGCTGAACTCTGTGTCGATGATGCTGAAGTCGCCCATTTTGACGGGGATGTTACGCTTGGCCATGGCTGCTGCTGGTGGCACTGCTCTGTCTCGCGCTGCACACGGCCACACCGCTCACCCTCCGACCGTCGGCTGTCGAGTGCGCCAGCCGCCACCTCGACGCCAGCGCCGCCGCCGCCGCCGGCCGTGGCACGGCGTTGCGGCGCTCCGCTGAGTGACGTCATCGCGCGAGGGGCGGCCGCCGCCGGTCCAGACAGGGGCGGGGCACTGGCCGAATCGCTGGGGGAGGGACGCGCCGCGCGGCCGCTGGACGGCTCGGGCGAGCGGGAAGCGCTGCAACGGCGCGGCCGGCGCGGAACAGTAGCGCGGTACGGCAGACAACAGGAAGCCGTAAAGAAGCATGTTGGAAGTCGTTGGTCCGGAGGTGGCGTGCATCCAGTCAAGTTTCCAGCTGAGGGCACTTGGCGCAGGTGTCCAGTCCAACGTCCATAGACCTAGGGAATAAAAGGCTTTAAATTCACGATTCGTCATATGTCATGCTAGTTGCCACACACATTCGATATAATAACATAACAAGGTCAGAAGGCAAAGATCAAGAAACGATGCAAGTTTGGCTCGGGCATTCAACGAAGGGGAAAAATGACATCACGGCAAATGATAAGATAATGAATAATGGAGAACCCGACATGAACAGTGACCAGTCACAGCAGTATGAGTAGCCTCCGGCCCTCCGCTCTTCATTGCATTGCACTCCATTCTATTTTTACGGTTTAACTGCTGTGCTGTGCTTACCGTGGCTCCTTTATAAGCCGCATTCTTTTCACCGTAAGGCATGAATATACCAAATTTTGAAAAATTTAAGCCTTACATCAAATTGTATCAATAAATTGAATGCATTGGAACCAATCTGTTGAATCACCGCCAATCGTCCGTATGCGGCGGTTGTTGCGCAGAAATGACAGCCAGCAGACGAAATCGTGTTCCTTCGATGCACTTCAATGATACTTCTCCTATTCTTCTGACCAATCGGTGAGCCGCTGCTGAATTTCACCGTGTTGATACGGTCGTCAAGTTAGATGTAAGTGAATCCTAATCACGGTCGTCAAGTTAGATGTAAGTGAATCCTAATCTATAATCTAAGATTCGGAATCAGGTGAGCCCCTACGATTTGGACCAAACTTGGTCAGTGGATACTACGTAACGTCCTGATTACGATGCACCCAAAATCTAAGCTCGGCCCGCCATATTTACGAAGTTACGGATGTTTGAATTTCAAGGTCATTCGGGAGAGCCCCTACGATTTCCGTCAAAATTTGTGTACGGACACTCTAGATGCTCCTCATTACGAATATCACAAAATTTAAGCTCGGCCCGCCATATTTACGAAGTTACGAAGGTTTGAATGTCAAGGTCATTTGGGTGAGCCCCTACGATTTCCGTCAAAATTTGTGTACGGACACTCCAGACGCTCCTCATTACGAATATCGCAAAATTTAAGCTCGGCCCGCCATATTTACGAAGTTACGGAGTCACAAAGTTACGGAATTTCAAGGTCATTCGGAGAGCCCCTCCGATTTTCGTCAAAATTTGTATGCGGACACATTACATGCTCCTCATTACGAATATCGTAAAAGCTAAGCTCGGCCCGCACTATTTCAAAAGTTACTGACGTTTGAAACTCACTGAAATTCAAACATCTCTAACTTTTGAAATAGTGCGGGCCGAGCTTAGCTTTTATGATATTCGTAATGAGGAGCATGTAATGTGTCCGCATACAAATTTTGACGAAAATCGGAGGGGCTCTCCGAATGACCTTGAAATTCCGTAACTTTGTGACTCCGTAACTTCGTAAATATGGCGGGCCGAGCTTAATTTTGCGATATTCGTAATGAGGAGCGTCTGGAGTGTCCGTACACAAATTTTGACGGAAATCGTAGGGGCTCACCCAAATGACCTTGAAATTCAAACCTTCGTAACTTCGTAAATATGGCGGGCCGAGCTTAAATTTTGTGATATTCGTAATGAGGAGCATCTAGAGTGTCCGTACACAAATTTTGACGGAAATCGTAGGGGCTCTCCCGAATGACCTTGAAATTCAAACATCCGTAACTTCGTAAATATGGCGGGCCGAGCTTAGATTTTGGGTGCATCGTAATCAGGACGTTACGTAGTATCCACTGACCAAGTTTGGTCCAAATCGTAGGGGCTCACCTGATTCCGAATCTTAGATTATAGATTAGGATTCACTTACATCTAACTTGACGACCGTCTACGTAACTTTTGAAATAGTGCGGGCCGAGCTTAGCTTTTACGATATTCGTAATGAGGAGCATGTATAGTGTCCGCATACAAATTTTGACGAAAATCGGAGGGGCTCTCCCAATGACCTTGAAATTCCGTAACTTTGTGACTCCGTAACTTGAAAAATATGGCGGGCCGAGCTTAACTTTTATGATATTTGTAATGAGGACGATGTAATATGTCTGTATACCAATTTTGGCGGAAATCGTAGGGGCTCTCCCAAATGACCTTGAAATTCAAACCTCCGTAACTTCGTAAATATGGCGGGCCGAGCTTAACTTTTGTGATATTCGTAATGCGGAGCATCTAGAGTGTCCGTACACAAATTTTGACGGAAATCGTAGGGGCTCTCCCGAATGACCTTGAAATTCAAACATCCGTAACTTCGTAAATATGGCGGGCCGAGCTTAGATTTTGGGTGCATCGTAATCAGGACGTTACGTACTATCTACTGACCAAGTTTGGTCCAAATCGTAGGGGCTCACCTGATTCCGAATCTTAGATTATAGATTAGGATTCACTTACATCTAACTTGACGACCGTATCCTAATCTATAATCTAAGATTCGGAATCAGGTGAGCCCCTACGATTTGGACCAAACTTGGTCAGTGGATAGTACGTAATGTCCTGATTACGATGCACCCAAAATCTAAGCTCGGCCCGCCATATTTACGAAGTTACGGATGTTTGAATTTCAAGGTCATTCGGGAGAGCCCCTGCGATTTCCGTCAAAATTTGTGCACGGACACTCTAGATGCTCCCCATTACGAATATCACAAAATTTAAGCTCGGCCCGCCATATTTACGAAGTTACGGAGGTTTGAATTTCAAGGTCATTTGGGTGAGCCCCTGCGATTTCCCTCAAAATTGGTATACGGACATATTACATCCTCCTCATTACAAATATCATAAAAGTTAAGCTCGGCCCGCCATATTTTTCAAGTTACGGAGTCACAAAGTTACGGAATTTCAAGGTCATTCGGAGAGCCCCTCCGATTTTTGTCAAAATTTGTATGCGGACACATTACATGCTCCTCATTACGAATATCGTAAAAGCTAAGCTCGGCCCGCACTATTTCAAAAGTTAGAGATGTTTGAATTTCAGTGAGTTTCAAACGTCAGTAACTTTTGAAATAGTGCGGGCCGAGCTTAGCTTTTACGATATTCGTAATGAGGAGCATGTAATGTGTCCGCATACAAATTTTGACGAAAATCGGAGGGGCTCTCCGAATGACCTTGAAATTCCGTAACTTTGTGACTCCGTAACTTGAAAAATATGGCGGGCCGAGCTTAACTTTTATGATATTTGTAATGAGGAGGATGTAATATGTCCGTATACCAATTTTGAGGGAAATCGCAGGGGCTCACCCAAATGACCTTGAAATTCAAACCTCCGTAACTTCGTAAATATGGCGGGCCGAGCTTAAATTTTGTGATATTCGTAATGAGGAGCATCTAGAGTGTCCGTGCACAAATTTTGACGGAAATCGCAGGGGCTCTCCCGAATGACCTTGAAATTCAAACATCCGTAACTTCGTAAATATGGCGGGCCGAGCTTAGATTTTGGGTGCATCGTAATCAGTACATTACGTACTATCCACTGACCAAGTTTGGTCCAAATCGTAGGGGCAACTTTTGAAATAGTGCGGGCCGAGCTTAGCTTTTACGATATTCGTAATAAGGAGCATGTAATGTGTCCGCATACAAATTTTGACGAAAATCGGAGGGGCTCTCCGAATGACCTTGAAATTCCGTAACTTTGTGACTCCGTAACTTGAAAAATATGGCGGGCCGAGCTTAACTTTTATGATATTTGTAATGAGGAGGATGTAATATGTCCGTATACCAGTTTTGACGGAAATCGCAGGGGCTCACCCAAATGACCTTGAAATTCAAACCTCCGTAACTTCGTAAATATGGCGGGCCGAGCTGAAATTTTGTGATATTCGTAATGAGGAACATCTAGAGTGTCCGTACATAAATTTTGACGGAAATCGCAGGGGCTCTCCCGAATGACCTTGAAATTCAAACATCCGTAACTTCGTAAATATGGCGGGCCGAGCTTAGATTTTGGGTGCATCGTAATCAGGACGTTACGTACTATCTACTGACCAAGTTTGGTCCAAATCGTAGGGGCTCACCTGATTCCGAATCTTAGATTATAGATTAGGATTCACTTACATCTAACTTGACGACCGTAGATTTTCTATTCCTGACGTCACTTTATTTTGTAAGCAGTGGTACTGCGAGCGTCTCGTGGACTGAACATGACTATAAACAATGCCCTTGCAATCCTGATCCGTGCAAATCGCGCAGTCCCAATCCCAAATGATGTTGAGTTTCGTTTTTGAACTATCGCTGTAATAGGTGTTGTCACTGGTTTCAATTTTTGTAAATTGGGAAGGCGGGAGTCTGAATGCTGCTCAAAGCGTGATATTGTTAAATATAATTTTGTTAAACAGCTTCAGTTTTCAGCAAAGCAAAGGAAAAGGTGCGACTTCAACTTGCTCTTGCAAGAAGATTAGTGTAAGTGGGTAGTCATAAAGCATTTACGACTACCGTGTAAGTGTTGATGTGGCGTGTTTCTGTTGGCTGAGCTGAATCTTGGGTAAATATTTACTTTAGGTCCGCAATATTATTTCAACAAGAAAAAATGCACATTCTTACACTATTTGATGTCCTGAATTCAGATATGATGCTTAAATGCATCAAAAATGTAAAATAGGATACTAAAACCCCAGCATATTACACCGCACTGCTGCACAATATACACTGAAGAAAGCACGCTTCCGCGACAAAAACGAAACATACAACGCTGCCCCATAAAAGAAAAAAAATGATGCGGATATTGTTTTCGACGTTATGAAAATGACGTCATAATACCAAAGCACAAGAAAAACGGTGAATAAAAAAGAGAAAATATCTAGCAAAGGTAATAGAGCATGAGAAAATGATCAGAACATAACCAAACCTTACCTAACCTGACCTACTGATGTTTGCCTACTGGGGGAAAAGGAAAAAGTGACTTGCATGAATAGATTGCAAGCAATGGTAAGTCAAATATTTTTAGGTTAAAGGGACAGTATCATCGAAAAAAAATCCATGTATGGAGCTGATTTTTTTTTTACTAGCATTTCTTATTTTTCTGAATCAGAAAAACATAGTTTGAGGACCGAACTCGGTGAAAAATATTGCAACCACATTTCATTTTCATGATTCATTTTCATGAGCGAACCACCACTATACAAGCATGGCCGCCAGTTTGGAAGCATGCAAAATTACTACAGAACTGGCGCAGATAATACATTATTGACGCTATGCTTACGCGGTCGTTCTTCTGATTGAGTTGTCCTTAGGGAGAGGTAGCCTTAGGTATTGCCTATAAAAATATAACGTGATAATTGGAGGGAGTGGCAATTGGACGTGACAATTGACAATGGGAGAAAATATCACGTGACAATCACGTGATAAACGTCATACATTGGAGGGAGATTGTGATTCAAGCTGGAGGAATTCCTTTGTTGAGCCGCTAGAATCCGAAGGAAACAGCGGAAATTGCCTACGACTATTTAATGAATTTAACGGTGATGAATAAGTGCGAAAAACGTTTTGGCTTTATAAAATTTGATGAAATGACCAGGGTAAAAGTTTTATTACTGGCGGTGAATTCAAAACGGCGCAAACATTTAAACAGTGAAGATAGTGAAGCACGATTCAAAGTGTGGTACACCTTTCGTACTTTGAGCGGCGATAGCGGGATAACGGTGTGGAGCTTCGAGGATCGGTCTTCAGTTCCCGGACCAGAAAGGTGGGGCCTATGCAATGTCAAATTTCATCAAAATGGTGATACTGTCCCTTTAAGTGGTTATGCATCAGGCTTCAGGCCTTCGGCCTGAAGCCAGATACACAACCACTTAACCTAAAAATATTTGACTTACCATTGCCTGTAATCTCTCCTAAGGCATTGCCTTCGGCACTGCACCGCTCCGCCTCGATTATTTTGACGTCACTTTCCTTACAATTTATTTTCATCCGTAATTTCGCTCAACCTTGGTTGGACCATTTGTAGCGGGTGCGCCGCGCAGACGGTCTTTTGACACGTGCAGTTCCGGTCGGAGGTGGGGCCGTTGGTGGTGATACTGGTGATACTAGTGTACTGGTTCTTTTAAATTGGTTTCTAGAAGGAATAAGTATCAGAAATGAAATCAGGAGGTCTTAGAGTATCGTGTGAATGACTTTTATTTACCCCTCTGTTTTGCGGACCTAAAGTAAATAAATACCGAATCTTGGATATTTAGTTATGATATACTTATTTTGAAAGTCTTTGTACCTACATATATCATCAAGCAGAAAAATCAAGACCTTTTACGGCCCAATGGTCACTGTATCAGTATGCGTACTGTAGGCAAAGATATTCCACTTCTCATCCTAAAATCAGTGCCCTAAGCCTTTAAGGAGGAATGTGGTGCCTTACAGAAGTCTGTCGAGAATGTAGCCACCTCTCGCAGAGGCGAACTTCACCCATGCAGCTTGCAGTTGGCTTAGAACTTGAACTACCTATGCAATATCAATATCATTGGTCAATGCCTTATAAGCTTCTGCTGCAAACCCAGTTAAGCCTCTACCAAATATGGAAAATAGTTATTCCTGTATGAAAGCATTTCAAAGATTCTTTTGTATATAATTTGTATGTTTTTTTTTTGAAAATAGGTAATAAAACTGTAGCTAAAACTTATTTCAGGAAAGTGGTATGTATATATCCTTTAAACTAGCATGTGACTAAGGTCATTTTGAACAGCGTTTTCAGGATAAACCTGTGTTCAGACATCAGAATGTGGATAAACTTCAATGGTCATCCATTAATCCTGGGATACATTTTGCTTTGTTATTTTATCGAGATCTTCTATTTTTGTTTTGAATAAGCCCACAAAATATAGGTAGTATTAGCCAGCCAATATGTACCAAGAATAAATGTGTAAATGTAAATGTGGTAGTAAATGTGTTGGAAGGGATAAAAGACATAATTGCAGTAATGATATGGATAGGATGACTGCTTGCCACTGCCAGCTGCATTACAATAAGTTAAAAAAATTAAGTTTTTTTCATCACTGGACGAAGTTGTTGATATGATTGGCTTAACTGAATCAGTTTCCTTGAACATTTAACAGCGCAATAAAATGATGCGGCGAGACATCATGCACGGGTGAACCAGATCAGAAGGGCGGGGCAGCGGGTCTAGGTCGGGGCGGACGCATATCAGGGGCGCCGCCTGGCCGTTGACGCCGTTGTGGCCGTTCTCCTGCTTGGACCGCTTCGCCTCGTCGTCGGCTGACGCATCCGAGGGACGCCGGGCCCGCTGTCGCCGCCGCAGCCGGCACCCGGCGGCGGCCGTCCGTCGTGGACCATCGGCAGTGCGCCGGCCGTCCGGCTCTGCCGCTCCCGTCGGAAAACGGCGTTGTCTCGTTCCACAGCAGCTCGCAGCGGGCCAGGCAGGGCGGCCAGCGCCGACAAGCCGTCCGCCGCCCCCGCCACCGCTGCATCGGTCAGCCGGTACAGCAGCGTGTAGGCTGCCTCGGTTGAGCGGCGCGGCCGGCCCAGCGCGGTGGCCGCCGGCACCGGCACCGCTGACGTATCGTCTAGCCGCCACCAGCCGGTATCGTCCATCCCATCAATACCACCGCCACCGGAGGCGCGACAGAATGAGAAATAGTGGCCAGCGTCCAGCGAATGGCCCGCGTGGACTATCACTGCATACAGCCGGTACTGGGCGGGCGGGCCGGTGGCTAGCGGCACTGTCAGCCACTCGGTGGGCTCCACAGGGGTGAGAACCTTGCGGCGTGCACCGGTGCACGCCGGTGCACGCAGGAAATATTTCAGGTTAAGCTGTTCTGCATTTTCAGGCCTTCCTATTTACCAATGCACCTTATTTTGTCTTTAGGTGTATTTTTCTTCTTACTTGCCAATAGAAGGCAGACTCTTGATGCCATATACTGATACAGTCTACAATGAGCACATACTTATATTTCTTTAAATTTGAACTTCTATTTTTTGATATTTTGAATATTTCTTGTCTGACAAACTAAGTGCAGATGAGTTACCTACTGATCTTGAAGGTAGCCAGGTGCTTGCAAAAAAATACTTCCCCACCTACTCCACTGATCAGGCTGTGGTATGACAGGTTTTCTTGATTTGAGTTTTGATTTATGAGTGACTAGTTCAGAATTGTATTAATTCATGACTTGCTTAGCTGCATTTTCCTTGGCGAACCCAGTTGCCCAGTCTTGCAATTCTTATGTTATTGAAAACACTGTCACATAGCAATAATAGCATTCTTCTCTGACACTTTGCACTCCATGTTGTGATACCAAGCTCTGGTTGGAATATGCTATCAAAGCCTCAGTGAGTTAATTACAGTACAGATAACCATTAACCACACAACATAAGTAAGCTGCAAAATGACACTGTTGACTATAGTCAGTCACTGCACTATAAGTCTACACAAACGAGCAAAATTGCAGGTAGCCTTGAACATCTGTATCAGATAAGCCATGTACCAGTATTATCTTTCATTGTTGGTATTCCATCTGCAGATGGCGACGTACGGGGAGCGTCTGCCGCTGGCGATCGATGATCTGAGCGACACGGAGGACGTGGAGCTGGGTGACACTCCCCCGATCGTCTCCGACCCGGCGCCGCCGCGCTTCCCCCCGTCGACCGCGCAGACCGGCGGGTATGGCTCTGCCCCGCAGACGGGCGGGTATGGCTCTGCCCCTCCGGCAGGCGGGTATGGCTCTGCCCCGCCGGCAGAGACGTACGACCCCGCCCCGCCGGTCGCTGAACTGGGTGAGCGGTCGGCGCTGGATGACTGGGCCGACCCAGCCACGTTCGGAACCACGGCGCCTCTCACGGGCCCGGCGCCTCCCACACCGACCCTGAACGGCGCCAGGACTCCCGAGGTCGCAGGTGAGAGCTCTGGGGTCACAAGTGAGAGCTCTGAGGTCACAGGTGGACTGCCATGACATCTCAAGTCATTGCTGATGTTTATGTTCATGGTGGGACAGTAGTGGCGACATTGACTGGATTGGCGAGCGGGGATTATGACGTGATTTAGATTAGACCAAAGTGGGTGGTATTAATTATATTTGTGTTATGTTGTCAGGAATCGCGTCCATATCTCTTGTTTGACACTCGAAGCACTAGTGAGAGGGCTTATGGTTCTTGGCTACAGTTGCATTCATGAGTACTTGGAAAGATAAATGAAGCTTGATAAGCGTTCTTCTGTGCACCGTGACTCAATAGCGTTTGCATCTTTCTACCTCCTACATTCTTCTGGCCTCTCCAGCACTGCCGCTTATGACCTCCTCCTTCGTCCCTGCAGCGCCGGGCCGCACCATCAGTCCCGGCTCGTCGGTCCGCCGCCACTCCGCCACTGTGTACGACAAACTCGAGTCACTCAAGGCCTGGAGCATCTCCACGTACAAGTGCTCCCGTCAGCTGATCGCCGAGCGGCTGGGACGCTCCACACGCACCGTGGACGCTGGTAGGTGTGGGGATGTGCTGGCGTAAGGACTTGCATTTAGTACTTCACTGGCATTTAGGTCTCACCAAGTAATGATGCTGGTGTTGAGGCTTGGAGAATGGGGTCAGTTTTCAGAGGACGTTGGAAACTAATAGCAAGCGGATGCGAGCCTTTTTGATAAGAGCTACTGTGTGCTGACGAACTAACTCACAAAGTCATCTCTAAGACTTTTCTGGATTCAATTATCTAATGACCTCATGTAATTCCCTTTTCTGCTTCTAATGCCTAGACGCGGCGACATGGCAATGACATGTGATGCAAACGATCAGTCGTCCATTCAGCCCTTCATGTCTGTGTAATTTTCGGGCAACTGTTTCAGAACTGGACGCTAAGATCACCATCCTGCGAGAAACCCAAGTTCAATACCGGAGCTTGATGAAAACGGCCAAGGAACTATCGACACATCTGACGAATATGCTGTCATCGCAGGTATAACAAATGACTGTCTGGAGGAAGGGAATTATAATTGTTTCAGCGATGGGAAGTACCCTATTGTAGTGTGAATGCAACTTCATGCATAGCGGCGACATTTGAAACGTAACAACACAACAAATTGAAGTTGGATGCAAATGTGGCAATTTGGGAACCATTCGTGCGTCTATCTGCATTCTACGTTATTGTCCTACGCATCGCCACCGCCGTTCAACTCACCTCGCCGACCGCTCGCCCGGTGTCGTTTCAGTCTGTATCACCAGATGTCACTGCAGTCTCACCATTTCGCTTCCCTCCGCAGATGCAGCTCGGTGAGCTGTTCTCTCAGCTGGGCCAGCGAACTCCCGAGCTACGTCAGGAGTTCGATCTAAACGCCGAGGCGCAGCGGACCCTGAACGAGAGTGGCCGGCCACTGCGGGACGCGCTGGCTCAGTTCGTCTCCTCCATGGAGACGCTGTGTGGACAAACCATCGAGGACGCGCTCACCACCATCAAATCGTACGAGGCGGCCAGGTGAGTGTGGCGGGGGAACCCGATCGCTGGAACGGGTTCAGCCCCGGCGACTCACTAGGGTGCCTGCCTGGACCTGTCTATCATCCTCCCGGCTCTGCAATGGTCTAATTGGACCGAAAGGGCCTAACCCAGCAAAACAACAAAACAACGATCGCCGGAGATACCATGGTTCGTGTTCGCGCTCATCCTTTTTTCTAGAAATTTAGTTGGAATATTTTGAATAGACGGATAGGTCAAGTCAAAGCTGGTTCAAGTAGGGTTTGTTAGCAGGGTCTGAGTACCTACTACCGTTCGATCGCTAGTCTGAGTACTACCGTTCGATCGCTAAATTTCGAGCTGTCGGGACTATTGAGAAGCCAAAGTTAACCCGCGCACCGACGGGGGGGGGGGCGGATATCCGCCCCCCCCCCTGAGGTTTTTCGCGAATAGCGGGCCGCGAAATTTGGTATGACTATTCCCTTATCAATTTTACACATGGTGTGCAAGTTTGAACCTCCTACCTTTCAAGGTCAGGTCACCAGGTCACTTTGAATGACCCAACCTCAAGTCACTTTTTTGCAACTTTGTCACCGTGCCAGAGCTACAGTAGATGTCGGAGGCCTTTGAAAGTCGCAGGATGTTATTAGGTCATTAGTAGCTACAATTTGTATATCTCGGAATTTTGATATCGGTGACCTAAGGTCAGGTCAATTTCGCGACCTCCCCATTATAAGTCAATGGGGGAAAAATCAACTCCCTGTTTTTACCACTAAAACGGGTCGGAATGGCCCCATATACCATACATGACTTCATATACGATCAACCCTCACTACCTTGAGGTCTGTTTTGCTGTTGGGCAGCTGTGAGGTCATGTGACGTCATCAAAGGTCACCAAAGGTTTTTGGCCAATAACTCCGTACAGGAACAAGATACAGACGCGTGGATGGTCTCATTGTGTTCAGCTCGTCAAGACGCATCGAATGATATACATGATGACCTCGAGGTCACGTGACCTGAGGTCAACCTTTGACCTTGACCTTTCGAGGTCAACATATATATCATTCGATGCGGATTGACGAGAGGATCACGATGATGCCCTTAGTTTGTTCCTATCTTGACTAATTCGAAAGTTATTCGAGAAAAACTCTCTCCATATTTAGCGCCGCCATTTTGACTTTTTCGACCCCTGTGACGTCATCTTTGACCTGACCTGAAAATGACCTCTGTAAAAATTGTAGATCTTGACCGTGCGTATCCGATGCCGTTTACCGCTTGTCGCTATCTTGCTTCGTTCTCGAGATCTCAGGGGGGGGGGGCGGTCATCCGCCCCCCCCCCCCGTCGGTACTAAGTTGGCGCAGACCCCCGTCGGTGCGCGGGTTAAGCAATTCAGACGCAAAATCCGTCGATGTTGCGTGAATCGTACGCTGGTTCGGATGTTTATCTTCTCCTTACAAGTAGGTCGCACGGTCTTGGCGTGACTGTATTGTTTGATGATGCTCGTAACTGTTGCTGTTTTCGTGTGTATGCCTGTCCTCATTCGTGATGGGACTTAATGGAGCTTGTGAGATTCTTGTTTGAGTTACTGAGGCTTCATCGGACCTCATTCGCATTTTTGCAGATGGCTCAGCATATATTAGTGTGAGATGAAGGTTGGGCTGTTAAATCCCTCGCAAGTTCTAAAAGGAAGTGGGGCGACTTTGGGCAATAAAATTTAGACAATTTCTTCTGTGACCATTTTTGAACGTCAGCAAATACCTTTTTTGTCTTCCTTACTGTGCTCTATCCGATGACTTTTATTGACACCTCCTTTCCTCTTTTTTTTTGTCGCTGCCTTTTCTCGGGAAGATTAATCCTCACACGTTGTCATTACCACTCGTTCCGCGACGTCACGACTCCCTCCTCCACAGAGTCGAGTACGACGCGTACCGCGTGGACCTGGAGTGGGCCGGACAGCAGGGCGGCGACACGGGCCTGCTGGCTGAGGCCCGCAGACAGCACGACATCAGGCTGGCAGAGTACCAGCGACTCCGGGAAAAGGTCACCGTCAAATTGACGCTGCTCGATGAGAACAGGGTACGTCACACTAGTGAAACGACTTTCAGGGGGTTGATAAGTGGTGACAGAATAGGTATTTCGTATCAGTACAATGACCTGAGCGAGCCTGATGAACGATGGTAAATGTATATGACTTAATGACAACTGCACAGAAGGGGACAGCATACGGCGTGTGAGCTGTGTCAACTTGTTTTTGCTAACAGTTTACGGCTGCTTAATATCTTTTTTTTTTGTATGTGGAAAACTCGTTGAACCGCCCGATACCCATGCTTCGGATATAAAGGGACCCTTTCTATTGACATGCAGCAGTTGGAACGTAGAAGTGTGTAGTTGGTAGTTGTAGGGTTTGTAATGCCCATCAGTGCGTCCTTCTTCGCCCAGGTGAAGGTGCTGCGAAACCAGCTGGGTCTGTTCCACGCGGCCGTCTCTGAGTATTTCTCCGGGGACGCGCCGTCTCTGAAGACCACCCTCTGCCACCTGAGTGCCGACAGCCTGGGAGCGGGCGACGCCGGCGTGCGCACAGTCGCCTCATAGACCCCGGCCCGCTGCGGAGGAGAGGAACACACGGAGGTCAGGTCGCCACGGGGCACCGGATCTCCCGGGGGCCCAGCTGCTGTGGTCAGATAGACGACTGCGCTGGTGCTGGGCTCAGTTAGGTGTGAGTGGAAAGCACGGGAGCCACGGATGGAGAAAGGCTTTAATGACGCACAGTGAATAGTGCGAAGGCAGACTTTCCGCGCAGTGCCTGCTCTGGAGGCCTTATCAAGGGTTTTTACTTTTGATTAGGTCTGCTAGCTGAGAGATCGTCTGATGTTGCTCCGGGTGGGACAGGCGATGGAATTTACTATGTAATGCAGCGTTAGTCAGCTCAGCACGGCTCGAAATCGGTGCAGAACCGTTGCAGTATGCAATTACGCAATCATTTTCCATCTGGCCATCGTGTTTATTTACGTGGTCGTATTTATGCAATATTGGTGCGCAGTATCCGCTTGACAGCTACCCAATGTGACACGCATGGTTTCACTGTTGTGTGGGTGCGATTCTGGCAATCGAGAAAATGGTGGATAATCGGAACGGGCGCTCAACTGTACGAGTACTATGCATAGTTGCTGGAGTGTATCGCTATAATCTTAACTTACTATCGAACGTTTGTCATAGCCGCGTGTTCATAAGACAAGCGTAAGCGGCCTCCAGCTATCGCCTCTCTCGGCACGGTCTGCGGGCTTCTAGAGGTAGCACAGGGGGCGGGCAGCTTTGCTGTGCGAGAGATGCTTGTTATAACGTGAGTTCTTTATTCACAACCAAAGCCGCATTGCGTTAAACTTCCCAGAGCGCCAAACACCGATCGCTACTACCACAACCGCGCTCCGCGCGGGCCGGCGGCCGACTGCTCTCGAACCCCGCGTCTGCGCGCCGGCGCCGCCAGTGGCGTCGCCAGGCCCCCGGGCAGGGGGGAGCAAATGGCGTCGCCAGACCCCGGGGCAGGGGGGAGCAGCTCGCGACACCACACCCTGCCGCCCTTAAAACGGAACACATTCACTTTAACCTGCCGCCCTTCAAACGGAACACATTCACTTTAAACTGCCGCCCTTCAAACGGAACACATTCACTTTAAACTGCCGCCCTTCAAACGGAACACATTCACTTTAAACTGCCGCCCTTAAAACGGAACACATTTTAAACCGGAACGTGGAACAAACACATTCTAAACCGGAACGTGGAAACAAACACATTACGCGCCGGAACGTGGAAACGAACACATTTTGAACCTCGGCGATCAGTCGCCTCGGGCACCTCCGGCGCCAAACACATTTTAAACCTCGGCGATCAGTCGCCTCGGGCACCTCCGGCGCCGAGCGGAACGGCGTTGCGAGGGGTCCGCAGTGTCCCCGCCGCCCCTGCCGCCGCCGTCACCGACATCACCGCCACCGCCGGTGTGACTGTAGCCGCTGAGGTCACCGGTATCACCGCCGCCGCCGAGGTCACCGGCACTACCGCCGCCGCTGACGGCATCACCGCCGCCGCTGAGGTCACCGGCACTACCGCCGCCGCCGGGGTCACCGGCACGGCCGTCGCCGCCGGGGTCACCGGCATCACCGCCGCCGCCGAGATCACCGGCACGGCCGAGGCCGACTGCTCCCCGGTCACAGGCCTGACCGGCGACGCCGGCGCGGCTGCCGTCACCGAGGCCATTGGCGCGATCGTCTCCGACAGGGCGCCCGGCGCTGCCGCCGGCGCCACCAGCCCGGTCACCGCCGGTCGTCGCTCTGACGTCACCGCCGGTCGTCGCTCTGACGTCACCGCCGGTCGTCGCTCTGACGTCACCGCCGGTCGTCGCTCTGACGTCACCGCCGGTCGTCGCTCTGACGTCACCACTGGTCGCCGCTCGGACACTACCGCCGGTGGCCGCTCTGACGTCACCGCCGGCGCTGTTCCCTGGGTCAGCCGCCGCCGCCAACAGCTGGTCAACGTGGCGCGACCAGATCACGTGTCCCACGTCCACTTCATACGACACGGGACCGGGGCGGGCGACCACCGTGCCGCGGACCCACTTCTGACGACCGTCATACGAGCGGGCCCACACTGTAGCTCCCACGGCGAATTCCCTGCTCCGTCCGCCGGCCGTCTCACGCTGCCGGTCCCGAGCCGCCTGCAGAGCTGTCTCGGCGCTCGGAACCATGAGGTTCATCCGAGTGCGGAGGTTCCGCCCGAACAGCATCTCAGCGGGAGCCCGTCCTGTCGCGGCGTGGGGCGTCACTCTGTACGCCATCAGAACTCGGGCGAGCGCCAGTTCCATGCCTCCGCTGTCGTCTGCTGCCAGAGTCGCCTTCAGTGAGTTTTTTAGCGAGCCGACCGCTCGCTCCGCCATCCCATTAGACGATGGGTGATGGGGCGCCACTCTGACATGTCGGATCCCGTTAGAGCTGGCGAACTGGGCGAATTCCTGGCTCGTGAACTGTGGGCCATTGTCCGTTACCAGCACCAGTGGTAGTCCGAGACGAGCAAAAACCGTCCTCATCACCGCTACGGTCCGCTCGGACGTGGTCGTCTTCATTGGGATCATTTCAGCCCACTTGGAGAAACTATCCACCATCACCAGGAACCAGGTGCCCTTCAGAGGTCCGGCAAAATCGGCATGCACCCGCTGCCACGGGCCGTCCGTCGGCTCCCACGGGTGCCGTGTCGCCTGCGGCGGCTCAGCTCGCTTTGAGACGCACGCCTGACACCCGCGAGCCAGCGCCTCCAGCTCAGCATCGAGTCCCGGCCACCACACAAAGCGCCTCGCCAGCTGCTTCATGCGAGTGCAGCCGAAGTGACCCTCATGCAGCTCCCGCTTGACGGTGTCGCGCAGGTTGCTCGGGATGACGACTCGGCCGCCCCAGAGCAGACAGTCGGCCTCGGTCGTCAGCTCCTCTCGGCGATTCTTGAAGGGAGCCAGGTCCGGGTCCACCACCGCCGGCCAGCCCGATCGCACCGCCGCCAGAGCGCGGGCGAGCACCGGGTCTCGGCGCGTGGCCACTGCTATCTGCTGCGCGGTCAGACACGGCCCCTGTTCGGCGATGAACATTACGCCGCCTCCGCCGTACGCCGCCTCCTCTTCTGCCGACAGCCGGTTCTCCGCCTCGTCCGGCACCGACAGACGGGACATCGTGTCCGCCAGCCTCATGTCCTCCGTCCGGCGCAGCTCGATCTTGTACTGGTACGCCGCGAGCTGCAGCGCATACCTTTGCATGCGAGCCGCCGCCAGAGAGGGCAGCTCACGGTCCGGGTTCAGGATCCTGGAGAGCGTCCTGTTGTCGACCACCAGGGTGAACGGCCGACCAAACAGGAACTGGTGGAACCGCCGCACTCCGAACGAGACGGCTGCGGCTTCCCTCTCCACCTGGGCGTACTTCCTCTCCGTTGGAGTGAGCGTTCGGGAGGCGTACTGTACCGGCCTCTCGAGCCCCTCGGGCGTCACTTGCATCAGAGCCGCTCCGACTCCTGTCGCACTGGCGTCCGTGACGAGCCGCAGCGGCAGCACGGGGTCGTACCGCATCAGGACCGGCGCCGTGGACAGCATGTCCTTCACACGGCGCACTGCCGCGGCGCACTCCGCCGTCCATGCCCATTTGACGCCCGTCTTCAGTAGCGCGTAGAGCGGCGCTAGCACGGTAGACAGGTTGGGCAGCAGCCGCTGATAATAGCTGACTGACCCGATCAGAGATCGCAGCTCCTGCACGTTCCGAGGGTCAGGTGCTGCTGTGACGGCCGCCGTCTTCTCTTGCACCGGGCGCAGACCCGCCTCAGACAGTCGCCAACCAAGATACACCACTTCTCGGACTCCGAACTGGCACTTCTCTTTCTTGAGGCGGACGCCGTTGTCCTTCAGCCGCTCCAGCACCCGGTCCAGCCTGTCCATCAGCTCACGGTCACTGTCGGCGCCGATCAGCACGTCGTCCAGGTAACAGACGACTCCTGGAAGACCATCCAGCACCTGGTCCATGATCGCCTGGAACTGCGCTCCACAGGTGCTGATCCCGTACGGGAGACGGTTCATCCGCATCGCACCACGGTGTGTGGTCACGGTGGTCATCTCTCGGCTCTCTTCGTCCAGCTCGCACTGGAGATAGGCGTTCCTGCAGTCCAGCTTGCAGAACTTTTTCCCTCGGATGCTGGCGAATAGCTCCTCCGGCGTGCGCATCGGATACTTCAGAGGCTGCAGCTGCGGGTTCACCGTGATCCGATAGTCCGCGCACAGCCGCACGCCGTCCTTCTTGGGGATGGGTACGAGCGGCGTACCCCATCCGGAGAAGTGTCCAGGAGGCACCTTCTCGGCGATCCCTTGATCCAGCCACTTGTCGAGCTCCCGCTCGATATCTTGCTGTAGCGCAAACGGCACCGGTCTGGCGCGTCGATAGACCGGTTTGGCGCCTTCCTTCAGTCTGAGCGCCACCTTCACCGGGATTCTGCCCAGTTCTTCTTTGAACACCTCACGGTGTTTGTCCATCACCTCCTTCAGCGTCGGCTGAGTCGCCACCGGGCACACGTTCAGCGTCTCCAGACCCGACGCCGTCCTCAGCGCCTTGATCCACTCTCGTCCCATGAGAGGTCGGTGAGAGCCCATGTCGGACACGACGAGTCGCAGCCGTGTCGCTCGGCCGTCCGTCTCCACGTTGACGTCGGCCTCGCCTCGCAGACGGATTTGCTGGCCGGTGAATGACGTGAGGTGCAGCTCACTCGGCCGCAGCGTCAGACCGGGGATGTGAGTCTCCGCGCTGATTATAGTCACCGGTGAGCCAGTGTCGATCAGCATGGTGAACTCCTGACCGTTCACCCTGACCGTCGCCCACTCAGCTGCGGCTGGCTGCACGGCGCTGACTTGCCAGTCAGCCTGGTCGCCGTCCTGAACCAGCTTCACGCCAGTTCGCTGTTTGCCGCAGTCACGCTGCAGATGCCCACGCTCTCCGCACCGATAGCAGCGCGGCGCGCCGGCCCGCCATGGCCGCGCGCCGGCCTGCCGCGGCTGCCCGCTGTCCTGCCGTGGCTGCCCGCTGTCCTGCCGCGGCTGCGCACCGTCCTGCCGGGGCCGCGCGCCGGCCTGCCGCGACTGCGCGCTGGGACAGTGGCGCCGCCAGTGGCCCCGGCCGCCACAGCGGAAGCACGTGCCTGGCCCCGGGGGCTCGGTCGGCCTGACCCTCTCCGTCCGCTGCGGGCGTCGCACCAGGTGAACTGCCTCCCCGTCCGTCTCGGCCGGCGCCGGCGCCCCTGACAGCCGCGTCGTCAGATCCATCACGTCCCTGTGCGCCCGTGCCGTCCGCCGGACGTCCTCCAGAGAGAGGTCGTCACCCTTTAGCGCCGCCTCCCGGACCAGCTTCCTCTGTAGCTCACCTCGGCTGCCCAGGACGCATCGGTCTCTCAACTCACGGTCCACCTGCGCCGGCTCGTAGCCGCAGCGCAGGATTTGCGTCCGTAGTCTGCCCAGGAACTCCTCCAGACTCTCTTCCTGCTCCATTGTCATCCCTTGAAACTTTCCTCTTTCCGCCACCACATTATTCTTCGGCACCAGATACCGTGTTAGCTTCCTTTTCAGGCGAGCAAACTCGTCTTCTCCCTGTCCCTCGGCGTCCTCCTCAGGCAGTGAATCGCTGACATCGGCGAGGTCCGGGCCCACCAGGTGCAACAGGACTGCACACCGTCTCGCAGGCCCTTGAATGTCAACAGCGATCATATACCGCTCCAATGCCCGGAGCCACTTTTCAAAGTCCGTGCCTGGACGGTACGGCACCGCAGACACTATCTGCATCCCCGTTGGATCCATCGTGCCGCCGCCCTCTCACCAGCACGTCGTTTCTCCGGTCGGCTCGCCGCCGCTCCACCGTCGGCCCGCAGCCGCTCCACCGTCGGCCCGCGGCCGCTCCACCGTCGGCCCGCAGCCGCTCCACCGGCGGCCCGCAGCCGCTCCACCGGTCGGCCCGCAGCCGCTCCACCGGCGGCCCGCAGCCGCTCCACCGGTCGGCCCGCAGCCGGGCGTCACCGCTCACACCGGCCGGTCACCGCTCACACCGGCCGGTCACCGCACACGCCGGTCGGTCACCGCACACGCCGGTCGGTCACCGCACACGCCGGTCGGCCACCGCTCACGCCGACCGGTCACCGCTCACCGCGCCGCCCTGCGCCTGTACTTGGCGCTGCAGCTGCGGTTTCCCGCGCTTTTCTCGACGGGGGCGTCACGTGGTAGTGACGTCACACGCACGTCACCGCGCGCGCATGCGCACTCGTCCCGCACCGCCCGGCCGCGCGCCAGCTTCCCGCCGAAATTACCCGCTTCGGGGACCAGGCACCTCAAACCGCATTGAGGCCCTCTCCGCCGCACCGATCGGCCAATCACACGCGCTGCCACAGCTGCGCGTCACCCCCGGCCGACCAATCAGCGTGCAGGACGCCGACGCATGCGCCACGCACACCACACTGCCGAGGCATCATGGCCGCCACGAATTTCGGCGATCACATGGAAAACCCTGCCAGGACCAGGACAACGGCCGCCGCGCGACAGGCACACTACTAGCAGCAGCGCGAAAATAAAAATACTAAGCAATACTAAGCACTAAGCATTCGTACTAAGCAACGTTTGCGCCCTCACCGTCCGTGGCCTGTCCGCTCTCGCTGACCACCGCGCACTGATCACTGGCCCGTTTCGCCATCACTCGCAATCACAGCTCCAAGGCTTCACCTTGATCTGATCCTCGTCGCCAGGATGTTATAACGTGAGTTCTTTATTCACAACCAAAGCCGCATTGCGTTAAACTTCCCAGAGCGCCAAACACCGATCGCTACTACCACAACCGCGCTCCGCGCGGGCCGGCGGCCGACTGCTCTCGAACCCCGCGTCTGCGCGCCGGCGCCGCCAGTGGCGTCGCCAGGCCCCCGGGCAGGGGGGAGCAAATGGCGTCGCCAGACCCCGGGGCAGGGGGGAGCAGCTCGCGACACCACAATGCTCATACGCGAGATTGGCCGCAAGGTCTTGCCGGCAGTGTTGAGGGTGCGTCAGCGGTCCAAGGACCGGACCTCTAACGGCCTTATGGTGACAGCTTTACTCAGACTCGGCAGCGAGCGGCCCGTTAGATACGCGCATCAGCGGTCGGCGGGCTTCGCGGATCGGATTCTCTCGCGGTGCTCTCTGCTTGCCGTCTTTCCACTTCGCTCAGCGCGGTCACCGCAATAGGTAGTCAACGCGACACGCTTAACCACGAATCTCGATACGTCACGTCGGTCCGTTATTTTAATCACCGGCGTGCTATTTACGCTGCATTTAGCACCGACTGTAAATGTGTTTTGCCTTGATTGCGTTCTGTCGACCCTGCTTTGTGGGCTGGGTTGGATGCGGTCTCGTAAGACTGCGAGGCTCTCAGCACTGTTCTCTGGTTGTGTTTGTTAGGCGTTCAACGCGCACATGCTACGAATGCCTATTGCCTACACTTTGTAGATCTCTGCAATTATGTAGGTAGGCAATAGTTCCTTTCCAATGTTCATAAATGTGTGATATCAACAATCGTGATAAGACATACTATTCAACGATTTTGTATAATTATTGGCTAATATCACGCAAATACATTATAATTCACTGTTTTGGAGAACGACTTTTGCTTTATTTTTTGCAATGTCTATGATCAAAGCTTAAAGCCTGTTCGAATCTTTCAGTACTTTGGTTGGCTCATTCTGGGTTTGTATCGCTACTGTCTATCCAATTTCTATTGACGTTTATAAGGATGATATCCTGTTCCGATGCCACGAACAGTAGGTGTGGCGTTACAGATAGTGCGCCTCCGACTGTTCTGCGAGGTTACCTGTACTGGGGCGGAGTGGGTCACAATCTGGGCGTGAGGGGGGCGCGGCGCAACAGCCCGTCGCGTTCCCACACAATGTTGACACAGAGAAGCACCACAGTGAGCCCCCGCCCCCCGCAGAGGCGCATAATTATATAATTATATAACGCGGGTCGTGAGATATTCGAGTGTGCAGATGAGGCCCTGTTCTCTATAAACGGTGCACTTGCCTGCAAAATACTGATGCTAGAATCATGCGAGGGCACGCGCCTTTATTTTTACAATCTAGCACAAAACTCGCCATGGCCGAATAACCACAATAACAAAACAACAAAGTACATATCGTCAACAAAATGACGACGCGATGATACCGATAAACAAGAGATATGAACGGCGCGGTGGGGGAAGAATGTCGACACCTTGCCAATATGATAAAACATCATTCACCTATTCAAGTGAATATCACTGTACCAAAAAATACCACGTAGATCAATAGACAACGACTTACTAATACAAAAAGTAAAAAAATGACGCCCTCAGCAGACCCCGCAGGCCTTTCTGCAGTGGACTGCCATGTAGTCGGGGTTGGCGGCGCACTCCCCTGCCTTAGCCCACTCAGAGCACTGGCTGGCGGTGTCTCCGCAGCCGGCCACCGCTCCGTCGCCGCAGAGGCCACAGGCGCGCCGGCAGAACACGCTCATGTAGGACCAGTTGGTGGTGCACTGGTTGTCGGCTGCCCAGCCGGCGCACGAGCCGCTCCGGTCCTCGCAGTCTGTGTGTGGGGTAAGTTAGGTCAGTCCAAGGCTATGTAGACCCGGTAGAACGCTCCCAACGAAAAAAAGTGAGGACAAGGGTCGGTCTGTGGCTACTGTTCGACGGCTGTCGTTCTGAAAAAAAAGCTTATGGGTACCCCGAAAAACTGTTAGTGTGGATAACTGCTCGACATTTAATATTTTACATGTGTTTGAAAACAAGCAAGTCACTACTGGCAATGGAAGGGCAGTGACTCGCTTCGGTAGAGGCTGGACCTCGTCGGCATTATATGGCTCACTCACCTCCGCACGTGCCGCAGGAGAGGGCGCAGTTGATGCCCATCCAGTTAGGATTCTTCTGACACTCCCCAGTCTCCGCCCAGAACTGACACGATCCGTCCATATCCCGGCACTCGGGAGCGCCCGTCACCGGTGCCTCCGTCGGTACCTCGTCACAGCCGTACAGTCGGTTCAGCTTGGCGATGTCTAGGTCAGATGGACCGTCTCGCTGACCCATTCGGGAGGTTGGTACCAGCGCAGTGATGGTCGGTCGGCTGGGGTCCGCTGCGAACGCCGTCGGTCCGTAGTGCAGGACCGAGCCCACGTCATACGGCTCGCCCAGGTCCAGCGTCTGACTCCAGGGCTTCTTGTCAAAGTTGTAGGCCATGCCGGCGCGGATGTTCTCCCGGTGGATAATGACGTGGTTGTCGCGGTCGGCTCGACTCTGCTCGTGCCAGAATCCTGCCGCGTGGAGCAACTCGTGCGCTACCACACCGCGGTATACGCACCCATTACCGAGCGAGAGCTCCTGGCGACCGCCGAACCGTCCCACGTCGCTCGAGCAGCCGCGACCCTTCTTGATGTGAACGTAGTCGCGTTGGCCGGAGCGTGGCACCAGCCTCAGACAGGAGCGCTGAGATAGCTGCTGCGCGGCAGCGGCGATCACTGCGCGCTCCTGGTCGCTGAACGTGGAGGCGATCGTGTAGGGGATCTCACCTCCTGGCCACAGCTGGTGCCGATTGCGCACGGCGTTCCGGACCCTCCCACCGCTGTCGCCCCCTGCGGATTCCAGGTCTTTGCCTTCCTCGCTGACTCCAGCGATGTCTCCCTCGTACAGACCGGCCAACTGAGTGGGGTCGCCAGCGTCGGGCGCGGAGAGAAGAGCGTCCGCCTCCAGACGGACGGCAGCCTGGAAATCGTCGGGAGTCAGCGGTACGCCGAACTCGTCGTCAGTGACGTCATCGACGATGGAGGTGACGTCGTTTGTGATGGACAGAATTGATGCGTCGCGCTTGACGGGAGGCTTTGAAGACATGGACGAATGAAAAGATCGTTTGGCCCACATGGGCGGCCGACCTCGCGGAGGCGACTGTTCTATGGATTCGGATCGCTTCTGCGAACCAGTCAGCGACTTCTTGACGGTGTCTTGGGCTTCGTCATCGCCACGTTTGGCCCAGAATGGTGGCGATGGAAAGCCTGAATTGTCATCAGCCGTTTCTTTTGAGCGTTTTGCCCAGAATGGTAGCGGCTGTGGCGGTATACCAGCTCTCTTTTCGCTAACATCGACCGGCGACCTCAAGGCGGTGTGACTATCGTTGACCACAAACTGAGCCAAACCTCCGACTGACCTCGGCTCCCGACTGAGCATCTCCAGCATCTTCAGCAGCGACTCTGGCAGCCGCCCGAAGGCGAGAGTCGTCACTGCCGGCAGCAGCAGCAGGCTCAGACGCAGCGGGTGCATGGTGGAGCGGCTGAGGATCCAAGGGATCTGATGCCGCTCACCGGACACCAGAGGACTATATACGCCCGCCGGAGACGGGAGGATGGTAGTGGTAGACGTCAACATGAGGGTGGCAGGCGACAAACAGGCGGGCTGACACCCTTCCGCCGTGTCTAGTGTGAGGAAGGGGTGCGTGTCACCGGTCAGATGCGGACCCTCTTCGGTAGACGGTGCGGGCAGTCGCCCCCCCCCCCCAGACCCCAGTCCGGTCACCGACCTCTCGCTGTCCTGGTTTCCGACCCGTCCTCCGACCCAGTGTTGTGCCTTCAGGTGGGTTCCTCAACGTAAACAGCGCAGGATCGATACTCAATCGGTGGCACCCTCGCCACCTCCACCGTCGTCGCATGACGTGCTGAGTGGGCACGATATCATCACAGATGACCAGTCGGCTCAATTTATTGTTCAAACATGGCCTATTAATTTGACCTCTTTCGGTGCTGCTGTTTGTGTAAGAAAATGTTTCGATCATATACCCTTTTACTGGTCGGAGGAGGAGACGGGGGGAGCGGTTCAGTCCCCTCGTCATTTTTTTTTTCTGTTCTGTACGAAAATTGGGCTAGCGACCTGAAATTGACTTTCTGAGAATTCATGGGGAGTACCACGCCATAAATGATAATGGAGTATTATCATTGGATTCACGTTTTGTCGGCCAGTAGGCATAGACTGTGGGCTGATTAACTTCACTTTCTCCCGGACCGATAAATTAGCATCGTCTGGATGGGGTGTGGGAGAAATGGTTATTTTTTTTCGTTCGTGGACAAAATCATTTTCGGCGTTTGCCTACCCCTTTTATTTGACCCCTGGCTGGTCAAATCCGATTTATTTTATCCGACTTCCGATATAAAGTAAGGAGTACCTAAGGCGTCAAAAATTATAATGAGATAAAGAGCTAAAGTCAGATGTTTCGATTGATTGATTTTTTCACAACTGAATGAAAATCTATGCCATTTCTTATGTGTTCATGAGCGTTGTTACTCCAGTAACGTCACAAGCTCTCATTATTTGCATCGCAATGAAATCCCCGTATCCGTTTACATCCCGCTTGTTGTTTACCGTTCAGTTTGTCCTTGAGCTCGGCCCGGGTCAGTTGTCTCCATCCGGTTCCGCCAGCCAATCATTGCCCGCAATTAAATCATGTGACCATCGCCCGGGGCGGTCGGACTCCTTGGCAGCGAGCCAACTCTCTACTGAGTGTCCCGTGATGTCAATGTGCGTTTGAACATTGACAGTGCGAATTGTTGTTTCGAACGAACCGCAGTGTTTCGGTGGTACGATACGGTGAATGGTGATTGTGTTCCACTCGGCTCGGCCTTATTTAGTGTTGTGCTGTGAAGTGTGTGCTGTTGACGTGTTGTGACGCGTGCGTCGACTGGAAAGCTTTCGCCATAGACTGAGGACGTAAGCCTGTGGACTGGGACTGCTTTAGTTCAGCACAGACACTTCTAACTTCCACAAGGAATACTATCGTCCAAGAGCGGAATGTGGAGTCATTTCCCAGGTAAGTCCCAGACCCATCGGTCTAGTGCCGCTGTGATTTATTTGTCGTGTGTCATTTATTTAAGACCGGGGCTGAGCTGAGTACTATTACGCTACACTTATTATTATCTCAGCTGTTAAGTCTTATTTTTCGGTTTCCGATTTTGTCCCCGATAAAATCGAAGGGAAATAATAAATATGACTTTTGATGACAGATTCCCTTACCCGAACATGCCCGAACTTAATAGCTATAAACGATCAATCTACTTAAGTAATTCAGTTCACGAACTTAAATGTGCGATTGCCAGTTAGGTGAATATCCTAGGAACTGGTTTTGAAATCCCATGCCACTAGCTGTTCTTGACTCTTTGGTAGATGGTATTCACGGAGGTAGCTGATAAACCGTCATCGCACTATGCTGATCTTGAGCAAAACACCTTTCTTCTGGCTCCATTTATTTGGCTTGCACATTTGTACAAAAATAAATAAATTACTATTTAAGCTCGTAACTAACGCAGCCTTGTCTTATTCACACGGGTTTCTTACTCCATCCTTACTCTGTTCCGAGAGCACGACGTAAAGTGATGCCACTGATACTGACCGCAAAAAATACAAGAGCTGTCCGTTCAGACAAGAATATCCTGTGGTATCACTTATCCATAAACGGGATCTTTGAACCCTTTATCAAATCTTCAGCGCCAACAAAACCGATCTATACGTACTTGAACGCATCGCTGAACGTCGGCGCCAAACATCGTTCTCCATTGGGTTTCTCTGTGTGTTATTATCGCATGGCTCCTAAACCGTTACATCACAACGAACGATGGTAGTTCCCTTGATGACGTCACTGGGGTGCTACTGTGCTGCGCTCACAGAGCGGTAACGCGGACATAGTCGATCTGCATGGCGGTGTCGTCGCCGTTCCAGGTGGGCAGCCACTGGTCGCGGCCCTCCCAGAACTCCTTGGGCGCGTGCGGCGACGTGTTGGACCACGGCTTGGCGCCGTTGCCGTTGGTGCATCCATCGGGAATGAAGCCGCCCGTGCCTCCGACGGCGACGTTGAACTTGATGTAGAACTGCGCGGCAGAAAGAGAGTAGTCAGACTTGAGACTAGCACAGATAGGTATCGTCTTACAATACAGTGATCGTTATTCGTTGAAGGTAGGTGTTCATCAGCCTCCTTCTCATAGATTATTAGCATTGTTAGTTCACATCAGTTCACTGTAAAAGTTGATCATGTCGTACCGGCTGGTCGAACGGTGCCATCTTGGAGCGTCCGGCCCAGGGGTTGTTCCTCCAGGTGTCCTGGTCGAAGCCTCCCATCTCCCAGAAGCCCCCCTCGGGCGGGGCGGCCGTGCCGATCTCGTTGTCATCGACGGAGAAAGTCAGACCGTCTGAAACGGGCACCAAAAGTTAGGAGTGTGATAACTGATATTAGTGAGGTAATATGCAATAAAAGGCTGGAAAAGTACAAATTATTCATTCAAGCCCAACGCTTCCGTGAACGAAACCATGCACCGTGTATGACAGACTAGACTGGTGTCATTAAAACAGTCGATTGCTGATGTCACAAGGCCCGTGAGAGCCGAATATCACAAAGTCAGCACCATCAGCTAGAGGACTTTGTACCGATCTCCTACACCCCCAGACAGGGTGACGTACCGGGCGTCCAGACGACCTTGTAGATGTGGAAGTCGGTGTCGAAGCCGGCCTCGTCGTTGAGCTCGTAGTGGGTGAGCGGCCACTGGTTGGACGGAAAGTCGGCGCCCCAGTGCATCGTGGAGGCAACCTGCTGGGTGCCTGTAAAACACAGCGTAAATGATCGATCACCCGTCGGGAGGTTCAATACGGGGACACAGACAGTGAACACTGGTGGCTGGTTTTTCTTGTGACGAATATCGATTAGCGCATGGCCATTGAAGCTGTGTTACATTTAGCAAATTACTTTAATTTGGTGGTGATGCTGGCTCTCGAGTAGGGATATTTTACTGTGGATACTATATCCTTGAGCGTAGGTGTAGTCATCGCCAAAACATTTTCCCCTCTTTTTTAGTTTTCCCAGTTACCTTGTCGTAGTTTCGTTTTGATGGTTAAGCCTCTTAGGTTAGTTTGAGAGAAATACGGAGTGCTTACCGATCCGAACCGGTCACTCACCGATCTGGGGTCCGTCGCCGCAGCTGAGGTCCTTGTTGCCGCGAGACTCGACGATGTCGATCTCACCGGAGGTGGGCCAGTTGCCGTAGGCCTCGCGGACGGGCATCATCCAGATGGCTGCAGGCGAGTGGATGCATACGGTCAGAATACCGTGAATCGTTTGGATAGCTGCTCTTGGGAGGGCTGTCGGAACTCGGAACTCGGGGACCCACCTCAGGATTGTCGGAATCAAAAGTGCGCGAAATTTGTGTGAACCATACGACTTTAGTTGGACAGTTTGGTGAATAATCACGGTGGCTAGTTTTGCACCGCTTAGTTGCATACGAACACTCGTAAATGGGCATGAAAGTGAATAATCTAGCCTGTGAAAGGTTGTCGCCTGTAACCAAATCGGTGGTCTATAATTCACATTATCCCGTCATATTACATCATTATCCCTACTGCAGTGCTGAGGTTTATCGCTCCCGACTCACCGGGCCAGATCCAGTCTCCAGCCGGCATCTTGGCGCGGACCTCGACCGTGCCGTAGGTGAAGCTGAAGGACAGTGGCGTGCGCACCGCAGCCGACATGACCGGGTTGATGATGTTGTCTGCGCTGCCGGTGCGGCTGCAGCCGTAGCTCAGGGCGCACGTGCACCTGGGGACGACAGAGCCGGGGATCAGTGCAAAGACTGGCAAGACTGGTTGAAAAAAACTGACCGACTGGCACACCAGGACACCAGAGAGTGAGGACATCATTAACCTCCGTTTGGATCAAGTAGGATACATGTGCCGCGGTGTACTCACTGGTCATAGGGCGCGCCGCCGTTCATGTCCAGGGTGCCCGAGTACAGGAACTCTTCGCCGAACCGCTCGGCAGTCAGCGTCGGCTTGATGAAGAGCACGCCGTCGCGGATGAAGCTGTTGGTGCGGTTGTTGTTGTAGCCCTCAAACTCCCAGTTCTGCGGCGAACAGAGCGGAAATTCCGGTTAGTGAATAAGTTTCACATCTGAATAGGTATTGGTTGTAGCTCATTTAAATCAAGTAGGTAATGCGAATTCCTATAGAACAATAAAAGTTATCAGATCACTACTAAAACTTGTTTGTGATGAAAGACCTCTTTAATTTCAGACTAGCTTTTGACAAGTGGCATATGCTTCACATGTGCCAGTGAAACAAGCCCTAACTTTTGACGATTGATCGGTGCTTTACATACAGGCAATAGACAGCAATGCCTTCGTTTGTCAATTCCTGATGAAGAGTAACTTACGCCGCCGCCCCAGAGTGTGAGCTCGTGCTGCCAGGTGACCATGTCGAGCTCGTCAAAGTTGTCCTCGAAGATGACCTCTCCG